CTAAGTTAGTGACTGCTCCTCCTTTGTGATAAGATTGGAATGAGTTCTAGTCCCTTGAGGGGCTCAGAGAGTCAAACATAGCAAATTTTAACACATTAGGAATTATCAAACGCAAGAAGGCTCTGCTGACCTCCTCAGCTGTTATTTTGCTGGCTGAACTGGATATTTTAGCCTATTGAATGAAAGCAGTGGTATTTCTGTAATACTGAGCCCTTTTCACTCAACAAAAGCCAGGCATCTTCACTGAAATGTGTTATCTGTTTTTCCTTAGTTCTTTAGATAGAATACTTACATTCTCTTTTGACAATCTAAAAAAAAAAAAAAAAAAAGAATACCTAATTCAATGTGTTATTTGTGGCCTGGGGTCCAGCCCATATTTAGGTGCAATTCAGACATGCCAGGTGACTGGAGGAGGCAGGCCCACCTGCATTTGGGCTGTCACTGAAAGACCGGTCACAGCCATGGTTGCAGGAGATGTGGGGGCAGTTCAGATCACAGACTGGTGTTCATCTCTCAGTTCCATTTCTCAGATCAGCCACAGATAGATCATATCTGATTCCCATGGAGAATATATGGGTGGAAATGAAAACTTAAGATCAGGAGCTCTGAGGAGTGTAAAACCCTGGGGTATATAACAGTTAGGAGAGAGACTATCTCTTCAATTTGTAAGAGCACGGTTTTGGCACAATGAACTCTGCAGAGCACTGGGGTGAGCCTGGTGGAGCAACTGCAGTGCCAGCTGGCACTGTGTTCTGTAGGGTGTAGAGAAAACATTGCTTGGAGCATTCCAAGGTCCAGCTAGCATGGGTGGCACCCAGCCTGAGCAGGTTTGCTTAGGAGCATGTATTACCCTGCCAAGGAATATACTGGCGAGGCCTAATTTGCTGCAAAGAAACCATGTGTGTGCAGTGAGGGGCTAAGACTCAACAAAATTTTGGTTCTGATTGTTCTCATGTAGGTTGTTTTTGGCCAGGAAACATTCTAGGTGGTTTTTATGAGGATATTTTGGTCTTAAGGAAACATCGCTATTGATTTCTACTCAACTCAGCAGAGGTAATGAGAGGTGATAACCATACATTTTTGGCCTTGAAAAGAAGAACTCAAGGGACCAGCAATTAATACTTGATTCCTCTCTTGTTTCCTGTCTAAGACTTCTTTCTCCTGGGTTGGAGTGGAAAAAGATGACCTAATCATAGAATCAGGACATTTTTTTTTCTCTCTGGAATTGCAGTATGGCTACTATTTCAAATCACATCACCTTGGTAAAGAAGGTCAGTTGAGGGTTGGCAGAGGTCCTGCAGGTTGAGTGTGGCGGGTAACTGTGGAGCAGGCAAAGAGGCTGACCTTGGGCAGTATGTGGAAAGGGGAGCAGAATGCAAATGATTTGATTTTGAGTAAACAGGCATGGGGACATTGAGTTGTTGCTGTTTTTCGACTGCTTGGTGAGAGAAGAGCAGGCTCATTATTTTTTCAGGTTCCTCTTGCATGAAGTGACAGCAGTAGCACAGATTAAAAGTGGGAGCCCGGAGCTCAGCTGAGGCAGACAGCCCCAGAGTTCCAGGGCGCAGGGAGGGAAGACATTAAAAAGACTCCATGTGGCTTTTTCTTGGCCCCTGACAAGGCACATTCTGCTTTGCTTGGACTACCAAGCTCAGCTCATGCCGCCTTCTTCTCTTTCCTGGTGAGGGCTTCCTATTGCAAACCCTTTCTCCAGGCTCAGCAGAGTGAGCTGTTTAATACAGCTGTTTAATACACCTCCCTGATTAAATATTAAGTGGATTTAAAATCCAGTCCTTGGGCTGGAGACGTGGCTCAGTGGTAGATCGCTTGCCTTGAAGGTGCGAGAACCTGGGTTCGATCCTCAGCACCACATAAAAATAAATAAGTGAAATAAAGGTATTGTGTCCAACTACAACTAAAAAATAAATATATATAAAAAATCCAAACCTCAATATGGCTTTCCAGAACCTGCATGAGCTGCTTCCCTCTTGAATGCCACTCCTTCTCTCTCTCCTGAGCCTGGTGCTCTGGCCATTTTGAACCACTTTACGTTCCTTCAATTTGTCATCTATTCTTTGACCTCCCCCAACACACTGTGGCAGACATAGAACATGTAAATCACACAGTATGTCACAAGATTGGATGGATGAGGTTGCTTGAAGGTCAGTGGTGAAGACAGTGGCCTGGGAAGGCACACCCATGGCAGGCAAGGCACACCAGTTGGATGGCTGATCTAATCAAACCAAAATCTTCAAAGAAGTTCCTAAAATTCCATGACATTAACCAATGCAAGTTTGGCCAATAGAGCACAGAGGTATCTAAGGGAATAATCCTGCTGTGATAATCTATCTAAGGAAAGGTCGAGTGACGTAGGAAAGAGAAGCCCAAACCTGAGGACACTTACCTAGCCATAGTCCAGCCATTCCGCAGAGACAGCCCCATGGCAAAGCTGCAAACGAGGACCAGTGCTCCACCTTGGTGAAATACAAGATGACCGGGGTGAAGGAGATGAAGATCAAATTGAAGAAACCCATGGTGGAGACAAAGTGTGCGGCTTCCCCAAAGTTGGCACTTCCAAGGAACATCTTAAACAAAACCTGAATGGGAAAGAAACTCTTCAGCCACACAGTTGGGGACACTTTGCTGGAGTAGAGATGGGGATTCTATCTACCTACACAGTGGACTAACCAGCTCACAGCTTATCTTCCATGTCTTCCTTTACTGTCATCTCCATGGCACTAAATGGGACGTTGAGACAAGATATTAAAATGCCTTATATCCTTTATAGAAGACAAAAATAGCCATAGAATAAATTCCTTATGGTGTAGAAAATCGCTGGGGTACTGTACACTATGTGAAGTACAACCCTCCGGATGGGCGGAGGGTACATGATAAATAAGAGAACCCTAAGTCCAGAAAAATTGTCAATGACTGAGATGCCATCGATTCTTCCTTTCAAACATGGGGCTCCTTTTATTCTTATTTTGACAAATACTGAAAGCTAAATTGGACAGAAAGCCTATAATTTTATGTGGTTGAGAGAAATAATGATGCCTTGGCTTTATAAGCACTTTTCTTTCTGAGCTTAAAATGTCTTCACAAACATTATGTTATTCTGTGGATTAAAAAAAAAAACTTTCCCCCCCTATGGATTGTAAGATGGCAAGGAGAAGCGAATCTGTCTCAGAACAGTCTGGGGGAAGAAGCCAGGCCTGGCGTCTTATTTCTTAGCTCCCTAACCCCTCTCTCCCTTTACTAATTTTATCAAAATAATATGGATTGAAGCAGATTATTTCTGCCTGAAATTATTATCCACATAGGATTTTGTGCATTTTTTAGCAACTATTCCCAATCCCAGAATGAAAATATTCTGTAATGTGGTCAGGAGAATTCTCTCCGTAAGAAAACTATCCTGATTACACAGCAATTTCAAGTACTGCTTTTTTATTTCAACTGAATTTATTTATTTATTTTTCTATTGAAAGACTTAAGAGAACCTGGCATGTGCCAGTTCTTGGCCACATTCGACGTTTTGGTGGAGTTTCTGTCCGGAAGCAAGTTAGATACTAATAGCGAATGAGTGAACACTTGTCAAACTTGTCACACAGAATCAGTGGGCCAAGAAATGTCAGTATGGAAATAGACCTCATGCCCTCTGAGCTGCAGTGGTGGTGAATAGTCAAAACAGACCTCCAGGAGGAATGCAAAGGGTATTTTGTGTCTTCCAAAGAGGCTTGTCTTAATGAAACACTGAGAGAGGTAAAATTGGAATTGTCCTGTAGATACATCCAGAAAGCTGGCTCTTAAAAGTAAAGCTCTTTTGGAACAACCTTTGAGATCTTCTCCCTGAGTCCTCACTTCTGAAGGTGGCTACAATGACCCTCGAGTAGAATTTTCATGGATGGCTGGGAACTCAGTAGAAAAAGATTGGGGAGATCAGACTCAGACCCTGGCTCAGAGAGAAAAAGAGTGTCTCTATTTTGCTAATGATGTGGGCTTCTGAGGCCTGGAATCAACAGGTAGACAGCATCTCTCAAGGGACAGCTTCTTTATTATTTATAATACCTTGTTGGAGTTAAAATAATGACCATATAGTTAACTGAAAGAAGCACAAGGGGAGATCAAGCTTTTCCTACATACCAGCTACAACGATTTGATAATTGAGGGGCTGGAGTGTAGAGCACAGGCTGAGGGATTGACTGGTCTAGAGTTTCAATCTGTTGCTTCCTGGCTATGTGACCCTGGGAAAGTTACTTAATCTTATAAAGCTTCAACTTCCTTATCTGAAAAGTGGGAAATATGTATCTATGTTTCATAAAGTTGTGTTGACAAAGTTGAAATTCTCTGGCAGGTGCCAACCACATAGCAAGCACTCAATATATGATATCATTATTATTTAAATGCATCTATTTTTTTTCTAACCAAAGTTTTCACTTTATTTCCTTTCTTTTTTGCTTAAATATAGGCTATGAGTGACAGCTGATTACAAAATAAGGTGCACAACATACCTTATATAATGCAGACGTTGAGGCTGAGCCGACTGCAAATGCCACACCAATGATGGAATCAGCATGGAAATTATCTGCATATGCCATCATGACAATGCCAGTAATTGCCATTATTGCGGCAACTATCTGTCAAATAGAATGGAAAGAAACAAAAAATTATGTCTCTGTATAATCAAGTAACACAAGGCTTCACAAAGGTTGCTAAATATTTCCTTATACTTAATTACCTTGTCTATATTACTGCTTACATATAAGAAGGGTCAGTATTAAAAGTAAATCAGTATGCTCATGGGACATTCAGGACTAGAATATAAAAGCGATTCACATTCTAATTAAGAAATGGTAATTTTAGTTTAATTTTTTAATGCAACTTCCTTGAAATTAATATCCATTCTGATGAAATGGATTCAACAGGAAATCACTTCTAAGTATTTTCATCTATATTGTATTTTTTTTTCTTCAAACAATTCAGCATACATTTTAATCAGCTTCTTGAATCAATTCACATTTCTAAAGATCTGAACATAACTAGGACTTGATTAAGGAGACGTCATTTTGATACAGGTAAGGGGCAAAACGTAGACCAAGGGCAAAAAAGAAACTGAATAACCTCTTTTAGGGGTTTAAATTTAGGAGTAAATTGAATGTGCTCTGTCACTTGGGATGTCAAATGGAGGCCACTTTTTCCTTTTGTCTACATTTAAATTAATTCAATTTTTTAGATACACCACAAAAAGATAATTTAACTTAATTATGCTGAAGCACTCATTAACTACATAAAGTGAAATATTTCATAATTGGACTGAGGTCATAATGGTGTACTGTGAAATGATAAGGTCCCTGATGCATTTGAAACAGGAGTCCACTCCCTTGGTACAACACTGGTTCACATCTGTTTCTTTAATTGTCCTCAATTGGTTTTACTGGAAAACATTTCAGCCTTACAGCAAAGAGTAAAATAACCCTGGAATAGGGAACAATATGTCACTTCCTCACTGACTTTAAAATCAAGTTGAAAATTTGTGAGCAAATTGGAGATTAACACGTTAAGCTTCAGTTCTGAGCATTCCAAATAAATAGATTCCTCTGCAGACAGCTTTTGCACATATGTGATTTTTCAAGCCCTTTTAACATTATTAGGGAGTTATTTATAATAACAAAATTTAGATCATTGACATGGGACTAGACTTGAGGCTAATCAGGATGTGTGTGCTCTTGATGGCCTATACTTCAGGTGCTGCGAGAGCAATGCTCTTCTTAATGACCAGCAAGGGCCAGTGCACGGGTGGTTACAGAGTAGCTCCATACTGAAGTTCCCTTTATGAAAAACAGCAGATGACTTGAGCACAGATTCCAACGTGGTCAGCGGTGAAAAACCATCTTCACAACACATTATCCATGAGGCTGCTTGATGGGAGGTGTTTCTCTTGCTGAGTAAATATCACATTCTCTGAAACTGCCACATGTGTGTTCTCCTTAGACTCTACCTCCAACTACAAGGAATAGAATTTAATATGTGCACCATGGAGGTGTCAAGGAAATTTTCCAACTAAGAAGTAATAGACTCATAAATAAACGTGGCGAAGGGGTTATCTACACCTGGGAATTCTGTGAGGGTTATCATTTCCCTCAATTTGGGGTTTTATAGTTCAGCCATGGATTTGCAACCATTTTGGGGGCAATCTGATTTCAGGAAAAAAAACAACAACAAAAAAGGCACAGCAGACTGGCATTTTCTGTTTTTTGTGTTTGAATAATGTTCACTGGCTACAGTACTCATGTACATAAATAGATTTCCTTCATAAGACTAAACTGGAAAGATAATGAATTTGAATTGATATTTATTTTGTTTTGGCTAACCCTTGATTGTATTTTCTTGGTCAAATAATCATGTGGTACTACAAGACATGGCTAATGAACATGGTATTAATCCCAATGAACTTTAACATGATATGCTATTTCATATTAAAATTATTCTATAATAAATAATATTTATGTTTATAAATAATATTTATATTTATGTTTATGCTATTGTGTATAATATGTAATTCTGGATTTAGGGAATCGTGAAAACAAACAACACATTTAAAAACAAAACAAAAAAAGAACCAGGACTGGGGCTGTAGCTCAGTGGCAGAGCCCTTGCTTAGCACATATGAGGCCCTGGGTTTGATTCTTAGCACCAAATAAAAATAAATAAATAAAGTAAAGGCCTTCTGTCCAACTACAACTACATTTTTTACAAAAAGAAATAGCAAAAACAAAAACCCTGCACAGAAAATGACAAACATGTAATGCAATTATCCCCAGGATATGCACAGAGGTGAGAAGTCTTCCTTTTATGAATAAGCCATTAGCAAAAATATATTTGCATGAAGTATCTAAGTTTTCTCAAGATAGGAATTGGATATGGCTAAAGAGTAAATAATCTTATAGCAATTCAAAATTATAGGCATAGTGAGCCTTTTAAAGATCTCCATCAGTCTTTAGGTTCAAGTGCTTGTGAAAATATTCTCTGGGACCACTTAAAATTGACATATCAATTACACCAGTGTCTCTCTCAATTGCTCTCATGGAGAGAAGTATTTTTCACTTCAGGGGGCTAGACAACATTGTTAGTTAAATTCTGAAAGCATGAAAATCTGAATATTTGAAATGATAGAAAAACCTTTTCTCCGTGGTACAGGCAATAATTTATGGGTTATATATTAGATGAGGGGAAAGATAAATCATCTGCCACATTTAAAAAAAATTTACAACTATCTGCTAGGACAAAATTTCTATGGCATGTTTTAAGAAAGCCTCGATATATTTCCTATCTACACAGCTTGAACTAAAGGAACAGACCTCAATTAATCTTGAAAATGTAGAAAAAGTTGAGGGGAAGATCTATTTGGAGCAACTGGTTATATGCTCCAGAATGGCTCTGCTAGGCACTTTATTTTTTATTTTTATTATTTTTTGTTGCTTTACTTTTTTTTAAACAATTCTGTATTTCAATATGAATTTCTTTTTTCTTTTAGTTTTTAGATTTTTATTTGTTATTTTTAAAATCCACAGTAGAGTGGATTTTAATATATACATACATGGAGTAAAACCTATTCTTATTAGGATCCCATTCTTGTGGTTGTATATGATGTGGAGTTTCACTGTGTGTATTCATATATAAGCAAAGGAAAATTATGACTATTCATTTGACTATCTTTTCTATTCCCATCCCCCAACCCTTCCCTTCATTCCCCTTTGTCTAATCCAATGAACTTCCCTCTCCCTGGCACTGTTTCTTTTACGCTGGAGAGTAAATACTTTTTAAATGTCCAGAGAACAAATGACCTAAGCAGATCTGAATCACCTGCATTTTCAGAATCCATCATCATCAAAGAAGGAATAATAGCCAGTTCTCTCTCTCAACAGAAACACATGAAATGACTCTTTTTGTGCTTAACACACCAGAAATGCATCTTCAGGAAGCCAGTATCTTAAATTCTATGTCAACAGTGCTGGTATGTGCTCATGCATAAGGTGTCCACAATAGAGATGCTTCTGAGACTTCTTGGTACTCATGAGGATCCCCTCCTGCTGGAAATGTGCCATCTAGTGGTGCCATTCATTTGGCTTCTGAAAAGTGGTGACTCTCCTCATAATCTAGTCCAGTTCCAACCTCTTAAACAACCAGGAGTGTCTAAATAATAAAACCCACCACTACCACGATCTTAATTGACTTTAAATAAGAATGTTTATAACTGTAGTGATACCAAGCTGCTAATGTTTCCAGTTTTAACATCCTGAACCTCCCTGTTTTTTGTCCTTTAGGTGTTCCCACCTCGGGAGTATACCCCCCAAATGGGATTTATTTAGCCCATTTTCCCAGCATGACTGGTGAGTAACAACCTTGTGAAACATCTACCTTCTTCTGCATCTCAGCCTCTCAGAGAGTTTTCTGGGTCAACTTTTAAGGACAGAGGTGGACTTGAGGTCATTTAAGCCTGTTCTGAAAGACCAAAGAGATATTTGGTGATATCACTGCCCTAAATACTTACCTGAGACCCCACATAAAAGCTAGGTTTCCTTTACCTTTCATAAAAAAAGAAAAGTTTGTAAAGAAAAAGGCTAGAGAAGCACCTGGCTTCAGAATGCTTTTCCTTTCTTGTATCTTCTTCTTTTTTTTCCATTGAGGACCTCAAAAGCCCCAAGGGTCTTATTCTTCTCTGCATCTCCATGAAGGTGACTAACCTCATTCCCTTCACTGTGTTTCCCATTCACAGATGGTTTCCAGAATTATTATTTTCCTAGCAATACCAGATCTTTTAGGGCCCAAGGGATTGAAATGAACCTTTAATTCAATGTTATTCCCACAGTATTTCTTTGAGGAACTTACAGGTCTAAGTGAGCAATAGAACCAAAACATGTTTCCTTACTTTGTTTTGAGGTTAATCTGATTTTTGAAGCTGGATGAGCATAGAGGAGCTTCACTAGTTCACACTGCAACCCTGGAATCCCAAAGCCAAATGCAATTCCCAAAATGCAGGTCTCACACTATATTGCTGGCAGTGGCTATACTGAAGTTCAAGGCTCCAGGTAAACAGTTGTAACTAAGATACACACTAACAGCTTGGTCAATGAGAGCCGCACCTATGAGTGGATTTAGATAGATCCATTTTCAAAGAACAGCATCCTTAAACTTTTGCACATATCATATTTAAGGTTATGTGAAGAACTATCTCCTTTACTCAGATCCAATTAAACCAAACAAGAGCTGAAGTGCAAGAAATTGAACTGGGCTGGGCAATCTATTGATTGATTAAAGCAGTCAGATGCTGTGCATGTGAAGGGGAAGAGAGGGAGTCCCTCACACATTGGTGAATTCAATGGGTGCTGGGCCTCTGAACGCCTTTTTCCCTCACATGTCTTCTCATAAGAATAAAATCCATTTTAAAATGATCTCAAAGGACATTTGAATAGCAAAGAGGGAAAGAAATCCCATTAGGAGAGACTGCAAGATACATGTGGAGGTGGGCACCTGATTGTACCTTGTGATGGAGTTAGGGATTCATCATGGGCATACAATCTGAGAGCAGTCACAGCCCAGCTTTCTACTCTCTTGGCTCTACTCCCAGGTGGTTGTCCTTTCAAGAGAGGGATGAGAAGCTCTGCCCTGGGAAACATGAAGGTCCTTGATGGAGAAGTCTTCACTGCACATGAATGAGCAGTTACCCAAGTACCTGGAATCTTATTTTAGAATGTAATATCAGCACCAGTCAGTAGCTACTCAACTCTATTGTCCTGTTATAGCACTCTGCAGGGGATGGGGAGGTGGGAGGAGGGAGGATCTCAATTCAAAGTGCAGCTCATACATTGCTGTAGGACTGCAAATTGGTGCAACCACTTTAGAAAGCAGTAGGGGATTCCTCAAAAAACTAGGTATGGAACTATCATTTGACCCAGTTATAATACTCCTAAGTATATATCCAAGGGAGTTAAAATCAGCATACTACAGTAACACAGCTACATCCATGTTTACAGCAGCTCAATTCACAATAGCTAAACTATGGAACCAAACTAGGTACCCTTCAACAGATGAATGGAGGAAAGAATATGTGGTATATATACACAATGGAATATTACTTAGCTATAAAAATGAATGACTTTATGACCTTTGCCAGTAAATGGATGGATCTGAAGACTATCAAGCTAATTGAAATAAGCCAATCCCCTAAAACCAAAGACCAAATGTTCTCTCTGATGTATGGATGCTAACACTCAACAAGGTGATGGGGAAGGGGATAGAAGTTCAGTGGATTAGACAAAGGAGAATGAAGGGAAGAGAGAGGCCATAAGAATAGGAAAGACAGTGGAATGAAACTAACATGACTTTCCTATGAATATATATAAATACACCACTGTGAATTTCAACATCTCGTGCGCATCCACAAGACTGGGATCCTAATTAGAATAAGACATGCTTCATGTTTGTAGATATGTCAAAATATACTCTACTGTCATGTATAACTAAAAATAACAAAAAATTAAAAAAAAAATGAATTCAAAGTACAGCTTAGGCAATGAAAGATTCAGTATAACTGACATACTTCAGTCAGTTCTCGGTGGGTCAAGGAAAGACTCCAGAACAGTCACATTTTGGGAAATTAACTCCCTAGGGGTCCACATATGGCTGAAAATATGTGGGTACCAAGATGAAGGGACACATTGATTTCTTATCTGCTAAGAAAATTGGGGTCTGCTGAACCTTTCTCCAACCACCAATTTTCTCCATATCTTCAAGGAAATTTTCAAATGAAAGAAAACATTTGACATAATAATACAAAATTTAAGGGAGGAACTGAATCTGAAAAAAAGGTTTCTAACTTCTCAGTCTAACATACTTTTCATTGAAGTGAAAGAGACACCAGCAACTGAGAAGAAAACTTTTACCCAGTGGCTCATTTCTCTTAGAAAGAATATTCTTTAGTTTTGTTTTTGTGGTGCTGGGGATGGAAACCAGGGTCTCCTCATACTCACCTAGTGCTGAGCCAAACCCCAGCCCCAATAACCTCCTTTCATTACAGTGGTGATAGTTTTTCAGGTTCTCATAAATTTAAAAATTATAGATAAATAAGACAGGATCTCAGAGATGGGAAAATACCCATATTCAAAGTTGCAAGAGCTGGATTATCACCTTCCAACAGTTTTGTAATCTTTATCAGAAATATCAGAAATTCACTGATTTCCATGGGATGATCATAAATTAGCTGCAAGAAACTGCTCATAAACATTACCAGTAAATTAGGGGAAATGATTTTATAATGGAAAATAATGTGCAATAGATTACCTTTCCATCTGTAATTGAATCTATTCCTAAGAAACAAAATATTAACAAGTTATTCATAATGCTTAATTCATTTTATATGAATAATGCTGACTGATGGTCCAGATAAACCCGTATTTACTGATCTTATTACTTAAAGCATCCTCTATTCTCTCTGTGGAATTATTTTGACATGAAAAAATAAAAGTAAGGGAGGTCACAGCTTTCTGTCTTAAATGTCATTCTTGGGGCCAAGCAAATTATAATTATAAACCAATGACCATTTGTCTCTAAACTCCTGAATCTTTAATATAAGCCACGAAAATATGTGCTTTTTTAAAAAAATTAAGGTGCACAATATATTTTAAAACAAAGTTTTTTTAAAAAATAAAAAATAATATTGACAGGTAAACCAGTAAGTGTTGTTTTTCTTTTAATATAATTGTATGTTTTATACCTTTATTTTATTCATTTATATTTATGTGACACTGGATTGAACCCAGTGCCTCACACATGCTAGGCAAGCACTCCACTACTCAGCTACAGCCCCAGCCCACCCAGTTAGTGTTTTTAATATCAACATTGCTGAAGTTTCTAGTTCAATGGTATAGAAGACAGGTTTCCACCTGATGACTGAAAACAGGTTTTTTTGTTTAACTGTTTTTTGTTTTGTTTTGCATTTTGCTTTTTTGTTTTAAGAGAGTCCAGTGGCACGGCATCGGGCAGGGCTGAGCTTTAGATTATTTATAGATACCGGCAATAAAAGCAGCATTGATGTTGTCGGTGCTGCATTCGCCGACCTTTAATTTCTCAAATGACCTAATTATACATGTTCTCTATATGTCTTAGGAGAAAAGGAATTGCTGAGACTGTCAAAAGGTAAAATGCTAATATGTTGTGGTGCTTCCCATATTCCATGGCCTGATTATGAGCATCATTAAAAGCACACTTTGACGTTCTCCTGGAACATGGCATCAATAAACATCAATAAAAAATGTTTCATGGTGAGCAGTGAAACATTTCCTGTCTGAAAAAGAAAGATATCTGACTTCGACCAACATGCCTGACACTACTACTTGCTGTTTGGCCATCTATGATATCTTAATTTATGCATGTATTTATTTGCTAATACTTATTGGCTACTTCACATTTTTTCTATCAAATCTTATTTCTTACAAATGCTGAGTTAGTTTCCTGAGACTTCTGGAAACAAATCCACAAAATTGATGACTTCAAACAACAGAAATTGATTGTCTTACAGTAGTGTATAGGTCAGTAGTTCAAAATCCACCAGGGCTATGCTTCCAAAGTCATCTCTAGGTGAGAGTACATACTTTGTATGTTCCAGCTTCTGGTGGCTGCTCTGGCACTCCTGGCTTGGGGCCACATCACTCTAGTTTCTGTCTCTGTGATCATAACTGCTCTGTGATCACAACTCCTCTTCCATGTGTATTTTTTCCTGTGTGTCTCTCATAAGGACAATTGTTGTTGGATTTAGGTCCCCCCAGATCATCCCGGGTGATCTTCTTTGCTCAAGATTCCTAAGTTAATGACATTTACAATGACTCTCTTTCCAAATAAGGTCCCGTTCACAGGTTTTGGAAATTAGGACATGGACAGATCCTTTTGGGAGCCACCATTCAATCCACTGCATATGCCAAATTTAAAATGGCAGTGGTTAGTAACCTATAGGCATTTGTCTTAAAACTGTGATTTAATGTATGTTACACAGCTGATTTTTTGTTATTTTTTTTTAAGTCTCAAACATTGTGCCTTTTTTTTTTTTTTTGATGCAACTTCTTACATCAAGTGAGGTCCATGGTTAAATGCATTCATTCATTCTAATACAATTGTTTTTTCTCACTGGTAAATCTAATAGTGTATTGATTTACTTTGGTATCCATATGTAGCTGAATGAGCAGAAAAGCCACTCAATCTCCTTTCTTTCCCTTCTTCTAAAAAGGGAGCAGCGGACAACATAGGAAAGGTCCCTGTTCACAAAGGACTCATCAGGGTACCTGGTGGTAGAGAGTCAGCACCAGTGTGTCAGGTATAAATACATAATGCCAAACCATTTGGGTGTCAAATCAAGATTAGCTAGTGGAGCATGTGATATCACATTTGGTATAATCTAATGGTATCAAGCCATCTTGGCTTTCTTCTTAGTATTCATGTCAAGCATCAGTTCTAAATTTTTCAGCATTTCCCAAGATTCTATCAGAATTTTCTAACTGGTTATTTATTTATTTATTTATTTAAGAGACAAATTCTTGCTATGTTGCCCAGGCTGGCAGTGATCTCCTGGGCTCAAACAATCCTCCTGCCTCAGCCTCCTGAGTAGCTGGGAGTACAAGTGTACATCACTGTGCACTCTTAATTGGCTAATTTTAAAAGAAAGCTTTCAGGGTTCATGGCTGTCATAAACTTTCTTTCTAATATGGACTTTGATTTCAGCATCTGGGAAAAAACACCTTGGAATCATTGCCATCAAGAGCAGCATTTGGACAGTAAAAGAGATTTCAAATCCAATCTTAGCCATCTCTTTCAAAGGATAAGAAACTGCATCATGTTGATATTCTGGTAAAAGGCTATTCATTTGGACCTCCCAAGGAACTGTTGTCTTGATATTTTCATCATGGTAGCATGCCAGATGAAATGAATAAAACCTGGCTCCTGAAACTTGCATAGTTACCAAACAATCTATTTCTAACATAGAAGGAGCTTACAAAATTTATTATTATTATTTTTTAAATCTATGTTACTTCTGAAAGGAATAAATTCAGAACTGAAGTGGTTGGTGTACATTTAATGCAGTTCAATTAAGGATTTGTACACCAAAGTACAAGTTGTTGCTTTCAGTTCCATTTCTAGATTAGTCACACTAGAAATATAGCAACTTTTAACAGCATTGTGCTATTACCAGTGACTTTAATTACTGTTTGGTAATCTTATCTACTTACACCAATATTAATTAAATCCATCTGGGTAGGAGTAGGAGGGGTGTCCCAAAATATGTTGATTGAAAACAGCAAATCATAATCTTTCCTGTGGCTAATTTCCCCAGACCCTTCTTTCCTGAAGACAGATATTGATCACACTATTAATTTGAAAAATTAGTCCTAAAAACTATTCTAAAAATGGAACTTATTTTCTTGGTCTGTTTTAGTGCTTCCTGTTGCAATTAGCTGACTCCCCAGTAGGATGATCCCTTTTTTCTTTCATGATGTTGTAACTGCCGGGGCTTCCTAATGCATCTTCAAATTTCAATTTGTACTCAGTGGGAAAAGTTTTATAGAAACTCCATGAACCAAAGCAGCTCTCCTGACGCAGGATTTACAATCAAAGGAGGCATCACGCATTGAATTTAGTGTGCTATTACCCTCACTCCCATGAACCTGTCTTTCAGCACAATCCACGACAGCAGGAAGACAAAGGCTTTGTTACAACAGAACAGAGCAGAGACATCTGTGGCCGTCAGCTTCTTTAAAGCCAGTAAGTACAGGTAATTTGTTAAAGTCCATAGAATAGAAAAGGGAGCAGTTCTTTTAAGAAAGAGCTTCAATGTCAGACCATCTTCACCAAAAATCCGACTGCATTCCCTAGGAAAGAAAAAAGAGATTAATATGCAGATGTTAATGGGGATCCTTCTTGTCTGGCTGACTCTTCATAGCCATTGTCAGGCAGGAGTGTACTCAAGTCTATCATTCACCTGTGGAACATACTGAACCCAGTTCTGCTACATATGTGTTTCAGGGAGCCTTGGAAAGGAACCCACTGCTCTTCAGCACAGAGATAGGCCCGCTCCTCCCCAGATACTCCCTTGGGATTGCCAGGGCAGACATTTGGCAGTCTATGGACATTCTCAGAGAAGCCTGGAGAAATACAGAAATAAGTAATTGCTGAAATGACTACCTATTGAAAGGAGAGTTTTTTCCCAATGGGCAAATGCAACAGGATCAAGATGGCAGCTGCCATGTGACCAGACACAGACAACTCCCAGAATCCTGTGGAGCAGGGGGCCTCGTGTGTCTGTGAAGCCACATCTTGGGGTTTTGTTATTCCTGATTTACTGCGTCTCCTTCTAATATCTCTGCTTAATTGACTAATTTATTTTCCTATCCATAGTATTAAGGCAGAAAAATGAGAAAGCCTCTGTGATAACCCTGAAAACAGTAAAAACTAAGTTATGAAATTCAAAACTAAGTTATGAAATGTATGCTTATATGCATACATTGCTATTTTTGGATGAATCATCTGAATTCAATGTGTGGAACTAGTCACTTTAATTAAACCTCTGATTTGTTTATTTCTGATTAAATTGGCTATGAAGCCCATGGGGCCATGTTAATCAAACTGTTCAAGCTAGCGATACATACAGACATTAAAGGAAGTGGTAAGATGACAGTATGTGTATGAATGAAAACCGGCATGCCACTTGGAGAATTTAGCTTAATTTTTTTCACTCAGTTGTTCACAAACATCCAAGCATTTATGGGTGGCTATTATGTGTCCAGTATTTTATTTTCAAGAGTAGTGTAAATATCTTGTTCAAGGCAATGAGTTATTAATATTCAGACATATTTATAACATTTATAATGAAATGTATTTTCATAACTGTGGAGAGTGCTGGTACTAGTTTCTTTCCAGCTTTTACTAAAGACAAACATTGTACTTAATGCCTGTAATTTCAGCAGTTTGGGAGGCTGAGGCAGGAGGATCACAAGTTCAAAGCCAGCCTCAGCAACAGCAAGGCACTAAGCAACTCAGTGAGATCCTGTCTCTAAAAAAAAATACAAAATGGGGCTGGGATGTGACTCAATGGTTGAGTGCCCCTGAGTTCAATCTCTGGTAACCCCCCACCAAAAAAAAAAAAAAAGTAATTTAAGTACCAAAATGATCCCTGACCAGTGTTTGCCTCACACACGTGAAGTATCTTTCCTGACAGGAGGGCCACGTAAAGTGAGAGAGTGATAAAGGTCCTAAGCACAGGGAATATAGCCTTAAATATCAAGTCTCCCAATAAATGGGGCTTCCAAGCAGCTGAGATTCCTGGGAGTTGTAGGTCAATGATTCCAGGAAGGTTTAAAAGTGCATATTGTACACATGATATGTATTGTGGTTTGACTTTCATTGGGTTACAACCAAAAAGGAAGAATTTTCATAAAAAGAAAATGAAATTTTCCCAAAGGTAAATTTTAACTTGACAGTGACACAACTTCAATGATGGGATTACATAACCCCAAAGCAAAGCCTCTGTAAAGTCTACAGAAATCACATGTGCTCACACACTCAGGAAAATCAGTGGCCTCTCTAAAGCGGGGGGGGGGGGAGGGGGGGGGTGGGAGCTTATTCTGGAGCAGCATCACATATAGAAGCAGCAGCATGGTGCCTAGACCAGCTTGGGCACAAGGTCTGCTTTCTGTGCTCCCGATGGTTCTGCTCCATGAGGAAGCTGTCATGGAGAGCCAGAGTGGAGAGGCATGGGTTTATTCTGTCATCCATAACCACAGAACAACTTTTTAAATACAGATTTGTCAGTGACCAAAAGGAAACCCATTTCTGATTCAAGGATTTCTTTTTCTTATCGCTGGCCCTAGGCAGCGGTGGATCTTCCTACCATCATACTGGGTTGAGAGCCCTCAAGAAAAGACTTGGGATGCAGGTGAGGGAACACTTGGATTCCCCAGGGAAGCCAGATAGGGTCCCATGGGAAAAGCCCAGGGACAGAAAGGCTGGTAAAAGGCAGTTGCCCAGTAAAGACTCTTCTTACCTGGCTGACCCTGTCCCCCAGGTGCTCATTCCTTTATTGTTCTCTTTTCTTTTCCCATTTATTCTCACCACCAATCTTATGCCCATTTAGCATTTCTGCTACTATTGCAGAAATGAAAAATACTATCCAAATGCCAGATCACTTGTGTAACCTTATACTCTGTAAGCACTAAGTGCTAAGAAGTGGAAACACTAAAAAAATTAAAATAAAATAAAATTTTAAAAGATTTTTATAGGGAAGCAATTAGCAGTGGGTCTCTTTGGGGGATGGTAACAAAATTTCTGGATAAGGGGCATTGACAGGTGGCAAAGCTTGGAATGGAGGTTAGTTATCGAATACTTTCTTATATGCCAAATAGCACTTAAAGCACATTTCATAGGTGCCTGGCAGAGTCTAGTATATCTGCCACTCTAATTAACTTGTTCTAGAATTTTTATTCCCTCTAAGAAAATAACCTTGTTAAAACTATGAGATATAATTTCTTTCTTATAAATTTCAAATTCACCAGAGACAACTGAATTCTGGTGGCATACAATTGGAATGATTAAATCATTGAAAATTACTTCCAAATGGACATTGAAAATTCTTTTAATATAAGTAATAGGGAGAAAATAAAACTAGAAATGCTTTCATACCATTTGGGAGAGAAACTGTCAGAAGTTCTGGTGCTAGGGGAGAACTCCTGTCTCCGGTCTCACACTAAGTCTGTCTCCCCTCATTCTGCCTTTGGGAGCTTTGGGAGTCCCTGCTTGGCAGATGGTGTTAATGAGTCTACAGGGAAAACAGATCAAGGATCTAAGAATTTTCTGACAACCTCCTTTACAGTTCTCAATAGAGAACAATCCTTTCAAAAATAGTGTTCTGTGTTTAACAATGAAAGCTTTCTTATTTGATCAGAAATAGTCAACTTCATTCTACCTGCACTAACAGGTGGAGGTATCTTGTCAAATCACAGATTTTGCCAAGTTCAGAGTTAGTCTGACATGAGAGATGGGGAGAAGATGAAGCTCATTCCCCAAATATCATTTCTGTCAGCAATAGCCTTTTGCAAATGTGTTATCTTAGATAAAACCACCTTGGCTTGCTTTAAAATCTTCTTGGACCACTCTTTTCATTAGACTCTTTTGTCATTTTTATCAACATGTGTATCTAAATCACAGGTATGTTCAGGTGGAACACAGTGCTATCTGGTACACACCGCTATTTTTATCTGATACTATTCTGATAACGATGCTCCCCAGCTATAATTTATTACATACTGTTATGGGAAAAAATATGCCTCAAGATTATGTCTATTTTGATAGAATTGAATAAAAATATCTTGAGCAATTGCAAATACATATGGGGATTTATTATTTCTTCCAAAGCAGACAATATTGATTCTAAGTTTCCTTCTTAAATTATTTAATTATAATTGAGTTGTCACGGACACATATAGCTCATAGTATTCCCAGGTACTTCCAGGTTGGCTATAGGAAATGTAACTTGAGAGAGACCCATCACAGTTTGTTAAGCACTTAGAAATAGTCTTATAATGCACCAATCACAACAGTCATCCTTTTTGTTAGGCATTTCTCTTATCTTGGGAAGGTTATTTTGGTGTCTGCAAGACAAACTGATGGTCATTCTGCAGAAGACCAATAAGCTCTCACTCTCTCATCTGCTCTCCACCAAGGTCCCTGTTTTCTCGTAGTGGGCTGTTCTGGATGTTATTGCTTATCTCTGGGCTTTTCCTTTTCAAGAAGCTGTGCACTCACAAAAGAGTGTTGAGCCAAATGCTGTGTTTGCCTCAGCACTCTCAACTTCCTCCACTCCCCAAGAGGAGCTGCAGAAGCCAGGCTCAGTGTGAAGCAACCACTAGAACTTACGAGATTCCAGGAAGCCCAGCCACCACTGCTCATGACCATCAGACAGACAGACAAGGCCACATGAGCTCCCAGCCAGCAAAGAATGGAATCTTTTCAAGTTGCCCAGGGCCAGACCTCCCACTGCATGAACCTAGGTCATTTCATCTGCTCAGGCATTGTAGTGTCAGGGATATTGAGCAAATGTTTTGAAACTGTGAATCTTTCAGATTTTTTTTTTTCCCTCTGGATTTGAGACATTGAGATTTTTAAAAACATGACTTTTAGAGATAAGCAGATCTAGATTTAAATCAGGGTTCCATCATTTGTAACTGTTTGACCTTGAACAAATCATTTAACCTTTCTGAATCTGTTTCCTGTTGTGTCAAAATGGGGATAATAGCCCCATCTTAAAAGGTGAATGTTGAGGGGCTGGGGTTGTGGCTCAGTGGTGGAGTGCTTGTCTAGTATGTGTGAGGCACTGGGTTTGATTCTCAGCACTGCATATAAATACATGAATAAAATAAAGGTCCATCAACATTTAAAAAATATTTTTAAAAAACGGTGAATGTTGGGCTGGGGAATGTAGCTCAGGGGTAGAGCTCTTGCCTAGCATGTGCAAGGCTTTGTGTTCACTCCATAGTACTGGGAGAAAAAAAAAAGGGGAGGTAAACGTTGGTACTGATGGTGAATTAAAAAAATAAGTAGCAGCTCAGTGCCTGGCATGTTGTAGACATAATTTTTTAAGGGGAGGGCTGTTTTCTTGGGTTCATTATCAACTTCAGACCCTGCTTCTCACTCCCCAAGAACTCAACTCATATTGTGAAGAGATGAAACTATGTATACATACAGATGTATATTTTCCCAGACATCCCCTACTGGCCATTTAACATGAAACCTACCTGAATTTTTTCATTGGAGATTGCTTTTCTTGAGCAGTGGCCAGATGACCAGAATAATAGACGGGAAAAAACATAATGTTCCAGTTTGTTGAAAACCATGTCATGAAAAATGGACAGTAGAAGTTCTTATAAGTAATTTTTACAATCTGTGTGGTTCCAACCCAAGACGAAGAAACTGACAATATGATCAAGAGTCCCCAGACGGCCTTCAGAACCACGGACGTGCAGGACAGGCAGCGAGCCTTGATTCTGTTTTCTTGGCTGCTGTTCTCAGGATGAGTCTGTGTCCCATCTTCCCCTGAAAACAGGAAAGGAATACAAATACAAATGTGTGGGAATCAGGTTACAAAACAGTAATCAAACACATCAGAAACTTAAAAAAGAGGGATGCAACCAAAGAGGAAGATGGCAGAATGTCCAGTGTTTTTCTTTTCTACTACCATCAGAAGAGATTGATAATTCTGGCTTGTTTTCTCTTATAATTTCTGCTCTACAAGGTACAGCATGAACCTGGACGCTATCCAGCACTTGAGGATGCTCATGTACATGGGAGATGCTATGCTGGTCCCCCTTCCTTATAGGAGCACACCCTCTCTTCCAAACACTTTGGCCATGGCCATGTGAATTGCCTGACTCAATCCCATATGAGTGATGGGAGTTACACCACTTCCCAGCAGAAGTTCTAAGAGGCATCCGAAGACCCCACCATCTCTTTTACTCTTTCTCTCCAGCACTAAAATGGAAAATCCTAAATAGAAGTTGCTTTTTCAGTCTATGTGGGGGAATGAGCAGAACCTTGCTGAAGCCGCCCAGGCTCCACCAACATGAAAAGTGAGTGAGAAATAAATATTTGTTTTTATATTCCACTGAGATATTTTAAAAATTGCAGCAAAGATGACTATTAAGTTGAAAAACAATGTGTCCCAAGAACAAGTGCAAATCCTGGCTATAACAGAGCCATTTCCCACCTCATAGCAAATTACTATTTAATGTATTTCTGGGAACATAATAGGCTCTGCCTTGTGTTTTGACATTTACTAAGAAAAGTTAGTAGCATTTTTTTTTCTCACATTAAAATAGCCAAAGCTCTCTGCAGTTGACAATCATAAAGGCCATCTCCCCTGATGGAGAAAATTAGTTCAACATAATAAATTCCTATGCCTAGCAGAAAGTTGAACAGGAGCAGAGTTCCCTCTGAGTCCCCAAGCTGAGACCTCCAAAGGTAGAATCCTGGAGAAGGGAGGCAAAATTGTCTGCAAGATTCCCTTGGATGCCCAGGAACCCTCCTTGAGCACAAGGCCTGCGCTGGTGGTAACAAAAGCAGTGCAGCTCACAGGTTACTAATAGTGGATGAGGCTTCTCACATCACCTCTCCAGAACCTGCTTGCTCTGTGGCTGAAAGTGTTCCTCCTGTTTAATGAGCCTGGCATGACTGTCCCACTGGGTTAAAAACCTTTACCCAGCTAAGGCTTTCTGATATAATCATTTTGGGAGATGGGGAAGCAAGCTTTGAAAGTGAATTCTTCATTTGGGAATATAAACTAAGTTAAGTATGAACACAGCAATTACTACATGACTTCTAAGTCTTAAAAACTCAACTGAATTCTCAGGCCCTAGGGCTCCAAAAGATGAAAACTTTATTCTTTTATTTATTTATTCAACAAAATCTTTTGGAGACTGTACCAGGAGCTAGTTGGATTCCCAGGGGTTCAAAGATGAAAGACTTAAGCTCACAGTGTGACAGGGGCAACTCTGACAGATATGAGTCCACATAAGGCAGAGAAGCACTTGTTAAGGGCTAGCAGAAGATCGGGGAAACTTCCATGATACAGTGGCATTGAGGTGAGTCTGGAAATAAAAGGGAGCCAGCTCCCTACACTAGGTACAGATACTACCTGTTCCTGATAACTGTTGTGAGCATTTCCTCTGTGTCCATGTGGGTTATGCAGAGAGGAAAACTAGAGTAAATAGCAGGTAGAATGAGAGACTATTGTTGGGAAGCTGGAAAAACAAGATGCTATTGAATAGGTACAATCGTTCCCACTTTATAGATGATAAAACTGAGACATTAAGGGGTATTTGAGGTTTCCAGGGTCCCAGATTTTTATTCTGAATATTGATTCTGTCTAGGCTTTTAGTCTTTAGCATTCCATTTTAGCACTGGAGATTTCAGAAATGGTTTGGGGAAAATTTTCTGTTTCCTGACAGGAATGGCAGTCTTGTATGAGATTTACGAGAGGTAATACATAAGAGAAAGGTTTTCCTTACTATACTTCAGATCCTGTTGTTCTTAGGGACTAGTTTATAAGGGAGGAATGATTCATTAAAGGTTGTAAATATCCTTTTGAGATGAAATGTGTCCCCATCCTTACCGTCTTTGAAGATTGCTTTTGGAACACCACTGTACAATGGACGGTGCTTTTAATAATACCAGTAACAACTTAAATCCTTCTGAGTCATGGGTAAGTTTTTCTTTTGACGACCATATTTAATTTTGACAGCTTCTATAATTTTACAAAGGATTAATTTAATTTCCTAGAAGGATTGGGTATCCAGAGCTTTCATTTTTCTGTTTGCTTTAAAAAAAGACATTCTACATTCTTGCTTGGATTTATAGCTTTGTATATAGCACTAAATTGGGTGTACTAGGAATTCTACCCATTTCTATGAACCTTTATTGAAATCATACAGATTGCTGGTAGAAGCCACTGGACTTTGGAAGCATGTATTTAAGTCCCAGTACTGTAATTGTAGAGCCCTGAGTATGTGCTTAATTCCAGCCTTAGATTCTTTATCTGTCAAAGGATGGTAAGATCTAGCATATGAGATTCATTTTGAGGTGAAGTACCATCATATTCATGAAATCATGGTGAGCTTATTTTCATGTTATTCTATTTTTCTCTCTTCTTTTTGCTGCACTGGAAGGTCCCTGAGTTCCTTCTAATTATCACAGAAAGTAAATTATGTTCGAGGTGATCTTTAGTGGTATGGTTTTAAAGTTTGTAATTCATGTATGATAGATGGGACAAGTCTTTATTAACCAGAATATTTAATTAACTGGAACATTCTGTTTTGCAAACAACTGGGACAATAGGAATATGACTAAAATTTATTAAAGCCAATTAAAACTTAATAAAGATTTAAGAAAGTGTCATTTTTTCTTACTTTTTAAAGAGTTTTAGCCTGGGTGGGGGGGGGGTCAGCTCAGATACCATTTAAAAATAGGCTATTTTTGAAAAAAGAAAAAAAAACCACCTTCTCTTATATAAAAATCTATCCTTAAATTAGCAGGACCTTAGAAGAGGCTTCACATCTTCTCTACTACCATCCCCCTTTTTTCAACCACCCACCCCTAATTGAATTTCCTGAGTTACCCTTTTTCTACTGAAAAACAAACCAAACTGTGCCCATTTTCTCAACATTCTGGTTTGTTTGTTTTCTTTAACCATCCTGTTATTTTAGATGGTGTGTTTTGTTGTTTCTGCTGTTGTTGTCACTGTTTTGAAGATGAAAGAGATTTTAATACATTGCCAGCCAAGGTGAAGAAACACATGGGAGAGGCTTTGTAAATGCAGGGGAAATAGGGTGGGAGGAGGAGATCATGGATTCATGTAGAAGACCTAACATCAGATAGAAAGAAACACACACCAGAAACATTTCCACAGTGATGATAATGGATAGACAAAAGCACAGAGACACTCTGACCTCTGAGAGAGGAAAGTGTTTGCTAACAGACAATTATTCTCTCTTTTCAGGAAGGTGGAAAAATGGTCATATGAAAGGAAGTGAATATGAACCTGGGACTTTAGAGCATTCTCTGGGACAAGAAAGAAGGTATCCACCACCAAAAAGCAACAGTCTTGGGCAGCCGCCTCGTAGACCCAGCTGCCTTTAGAAATGAGAAGTTTGTTGGGAAACTCACGGCATAGTTATGAGATCTAGCTAGCAATCCCAGGGACTCAAGCATTGGTGGGTGGTTAGGTGGATGTGAGGAAGGGCTAAAAGACTTAATGATCTGAAACTGCTGATCAGTGAGGCAAGTGAATTCCCCTCCCTGCAGGAAGTATACAATTGGGAAAACTAGAGGGGCACCGGAGACGGGTAGTCCTGATGAAGATGATAGAGATTCTGTGATTTTATTGATGCTTTTGTCTTTTTTGTAATGGGCACAGTGTGTTATTACTGAATCCCTGAGCTGAGATAAAGGATTTTGACATTTTGAAGATGAGAAAACTAGCTACCTTGTACACTTCATTAGAAGTCACTGTGTTAAGTTCTTCAACTACAGGATTTGGTATTCAGCTTCTCTGCTACACTGTACACCCCTAATAGATTGCTTCAACCTACTTCCCATATTTTTCCTCCTCCTACCTGATGGACCTTCCCCAAACCCACTCCTAGGAGCCCACGTAATGTCTCTGCCTTCTGTGCGGAGGGAAAGATCTTCCATGGCTCATTAGAAAGCTACCAAGATGTTGTTCAAGAGAAGGTCACCCACATACCTGATCTGTTCTGTCTCTCGACTCTATGTCCACAAACTCCAGAGGATCCTCGGCTCTGAAGTTCAAGGATGGGAGCAGAAGAATCTTCAGTGATAGATAAAGGAGACAGTTGTCTACTGATGCCACTGTGTGAACTGGGGCAGTTGGCTCCTGGCTTACATCGAGTGACTGATGACCTGGAGGTACCTGGGAAGACAGAGAGCAAACCAGTTTGAGAACTTCCTGTGGAAAAATCAGAAGTAGATTTTACCATATTGGCAGTCAAATATATGGCAGCAACAATCACAATTCTGACGAGCTCCTTTTTAATTCCATAAAAAGGGTTCCTAAAAAGAAAGTGCTATGTTGGTGAGCTCTGAGTTTCTAAGATAAATAATCATTTTTGGATAAATTCATTAACTAGAGATGAATATTAGAAAATGGTACTTGGATGGATATGTGTGTTCTGAATTAAAACTGTTAAAACAGCCAAATAGTTTATCGCAAGGAAAGAAAAGTATTATGTGAGGCATGCTTTCCTTCCTCAGGTTGTCAAATTCATAACTGGTAAAAATGCCAAGGAAATCTCTGAGGAAACCTACTGACATGTTCCCATCAGATTGGTCACTAAAATCTATTTTGTGTGTCTCCTCAATTACTGCAACCTCCATTCAGGGTCACGGATGAAAGCCCAGCCTTCAGAGTCCACCAAAGACCATGCTCCCTCCTACTCTGATTAATGCTCCCTGAATCCTCAGTCCAGGATTGGCTTTATGAGCCTGTAACTAGGACTGTCACATAGGGTGCTGGGCTCAGAGGTCCCCATCCTAACACGACCTGCCCCCTCATTCTCAACTCTTCCACCTGAATGGTTCATTTGTTGACATGAAGAAATAAACATTGGCATATTACTATTTATTTATTATTATTTTTAATCTTTTCATCTTTAAAAATTTTTTTTAAAAATTTATATATGACAACGGAATGTATTACAATTCTTTTTTTTTTTTTTTAAGAAAGCAACAGTGCTTTTTAATGAACTTTCTTTCAAATCTGTGAACATGCTCGCTGTGAAGTAAATGTTTTTATTCTTTCTACAGAACATATTTTAAACAATGATCACAGTGTTAAGGTTAATAAGATGCTGGACAGATGAGTAGCCAAAGAACGTTACAAAACAACACAATCTCACCAACAATATATCAAATGCAAATTTACTGAGACATCAAGAAAATAGCTAGAAACATCATTACAGTAACTAAGTCTGTAAAACTAGGGGAAAAAGCACTGTATAACAAAAAGGCCTTTCATAAGCTATCAAGGGAGCACACGTTATAGACAAACCAAGTTTTTATTTGAAGTAGCGTGTAGCACCAACACATTGGCAGGACCAGCAGAGGGGCAGTGGTGTTGAACCAAGGCATCTGGGACAGGAAGGGATCTCAGGGGTTGTCTGCTGCCAGCCCCTTGTTTTAAAATGGGAAAATGGAGGCCCAGAGAGATGAACTGCCTTGTCCAAAGTAAGATGATAACAGGATAGGCTAGAAAATGACTGAGGGCTAAAATACAGGCCCCGACTTTAGGTCAGTGCTCTATTTTGATATACTTATATAACTCTGATTTAAGGTATCTTTTCCTATTGATCTATTATCATGAAATAAATAGATCAGTACAATTCATACTATACTCTGGTATTATGTTCATTTCACCAAGAAACACCTGACATGTATGGTTGTTATTTACTTCTTGGGCCTGTATATATCTTAAATAAAAATTCAGAGGAATCAGAGGATACTATCTTAGTTATAAATTGGTTGAAAAGTCAGCATCTGAAGAGAAAATTGGCACTTCTTCCACTATGAAAATTAATCTATGCCTCAAAATTACCGAATTGTTGGTACAAAGTTGTTGTTTTTTTTTTCCTGATAGTTTAAAGATTAGTAAAATAGACACATAGTCCAAACATGGAGCCTGCAAAAAGCAGGCCTTTCCTTTAAAAAGTAAGGTACTTTTCACTTTAATAAGGTAAGGAATTTAAAAACCTGAAATTTTTCTTAGAAAAGGAAAAAAGTATTTAGTCACAACCCATAAATTGTGAACCACCTCATATAGAAAGTATTTCTCTATTAAAAAAAAGTGTTTTTGTAAAATACTTTGGAATCTTATGTTTGGCCTAGCCTATCTTGCCATGGTGATGAGACCTCAACTGGACAGATTTATGATGAACTAATGAAAATATAGGAATGAAAAAGGAACAAGATCACTGTTAACAGAAGCAGCATTACAGACAAAGTATATTGAGTGTATTTAAATAGTTCAATGGGAATGAAGCCAAGAAGCTGCCTGTATATATTTAAGTGTGTCATTACAGTGGTAGCAGAAAAAAATAACACACATTGGCATCTACCATTATCACAAACCAACTGCTGGAGACGGTTTAACTGTGGCTTCACAAGTAGAACAGACCAGATAAATAAAAGTGACTTCTGCATATCATATATATGTATACATATATTATATTTTCCTCACATAGTATCTAGTTATAAGTAAATCAACATGTGGTTACAATTTCCCCCCTCTTGTGTCAGCATCAAAGGACAATTTGATTCCATTTTTTTTATGAACATGCCCTACACCTGGTTAGGAAATTATATGACATTTATACTCATAGCCTTTATTCTATCTGACCAGTAAAAATAAAATGAAATCTCCTGGGACCTCAAGCCCATTTCTTACCATAACAAACAAATTAACAAATATATAGCAAAACATGCTTGTTTACCGTTAGGCAAAAGACTGTTTTAATGCTAAAGAATAAACTATGCTGGCTGCTAATAATGTGCACAAAATGGTATAATAAGAGTGATTTCATGAAAAGATTCTGTAGTAAGCTGTGTTATAAATATTTAAAGAAACATGTTAAAAATTAGAGTGAAAATAAACTCAGTGTTCTGAAACTATCCGTAGAAAAATATACTTATAAAAAAAAGAATGTCTCATTAAGTGAAGCATAAAATGTGAAGTTGTTGTCTTAGTGTACATTTCCAATTTCACCTTTTGAAAGGCAAAAGCTTTCTCTCCTATGCAGGTGCCTGTAATTTACTTGGGACTGAGTATTTCACAGAACCAAGCAGTAGGTGACAAAAGGTTGAGGGCAGTGCTGTGACTTTCACAGGGTCAATTCACAGTGCCGAGTCGACGGGTGAGTGGGAGGAACACTGACTACGTTCAAGCCATTTAAAAACAGGACTGTATTTGCTCACCACCAATGAGCATGATGTTCAAGCCCAGAGCATTGGATTTTAAAAGGTTTTGCTTTTCAGGGCAGATTGTACATAAGTAAGGAAACCATCGTAAATAATTTTTTCTCAGGGTTGAATCCTCTGTGATTAAGTTTTTAACCCTTCATTAGTAGTTCTTTTTAATGAGCTGAAAGTGGACTAAAGTGTCATATCCTCAGTATGGTTTGGCCCCTAATTAAAAAGGAGCCTTCCTTCCTCTCTGATAAAGTCACGATGCCCCTTTGGCCAGAAGAGATGCATGCCTTTGGCTTCCCCATGGACATCTTGAGGACATAAGTCCTATCTTCTCAGAGGAAGGCTGAGAAACTCCATGTCCAGCAGCTGGGACCCTATGGTCCAAGGAGTGTACCGCTGAGTCCAAGTCCCTCCTGGGAAGCTTGCAGTTCCCCTTGGAGGGTCTGTGGACAGGCAGGGTTGAAACTGCAGACATCTGGGGAGAGCATATGAGTCCTGACACCTTAATGTTTTAAGTCTATTTCTTATTACACATATAGAGCACGATTTTTCATTTATCTGGTTGTGTACACACTATATTCATACCAATTCATACCTTTACACCTGTACTTTGGATAATAATGAACATCACATTCCACTATCATTAATAACCCCATGCCCCCTCCCTTCCCCTCCAACCTCCTCTGCCCTATCTAGAGTTCATCTATTCCTCCCATTCTCCCACTCTACTATTTAAACAAATTCCAAACTTCATTTGTACTCCATTAGTTCTCACTAATGTCCTTTTTCTATTTCAGGATCTCATCTAGGATACAATATTATATTGAGTCATCACATCTCTTTTGTGACCTATGATCTGTGACAGTTCTTTAATCTTTCCTTTCTTTTTCCATAACCTTGACAGTCTTGAAGACAGCCGTTAAAGTATTTTTTAGAATGTCTCTGAATTGGGGTTTGCCAAAGGTTTTGTTCTCATGGTTGTATTGAGGATATGGGTTTGAGGGAGGAACACCAGAGAGATAAAGTCAGCTTTCCATGTAACATCAATCATTATATGCTACCAATATGACTTACCATGGATAATCTTAACCCTAGTCACCTGGCCAAAGTAGTGTTCATCATGAGGTACTTTCATTTGGATTTTTAATGTCTCCCAAAGTCTCGTGTGTTGAAGGTGTGGTCTCTAGCTGGTGGCACTATTGAGAAGTAGTGGAAACTTTAGAAGGTAAGCCCTGGTTGGAAGAGGTAGGTTATGGGGGAAGGCCTTTGAAGGGCATATTTTGTCCCCAGCCCCTTCTTCTCTTCTGCCCTCCCCCCCTTTCTCTCTGCTTCCTGGCCACCAAGAAGTGAGTCATAATGTTCAGTCTCTCACTTCAGCCCCAAAGCAAAAGGAACCAGCTGACTATGAACTGAAACTTCTGAAACCATGAACCCCAAATAAATATTTTCTTCTTTTATTTATCGCAGGTATTTTGTCACAGCAATGCAAAGCTAACACATCAGGTTTCTCAGCTTTTCCTGCTTTGTATATTCTTTGGTAGCCAGTCATGAAGTCCAGTGCACGTTTTGGGGTGAGAAATTGGTTTTAAGCTTTATTTTCTAGAGGGGGAGTGTCTGCATATATTATCTGAAATTTTCATGTAAAGATGTGTCTCTTTTCCTCCCTTTATTAATCCATTCAACAGTTTATTTATGTTGGACTCATATATAGACTCATATATATTTAGTTCATACTTTGAGTTATGATCAAACTTGTTTACTTCTTTTGCTCAAATTTTGCTCAAATCCAGCTTTGACCATGGGGAACACTTTGAGATTGCCTTCTGTGTTCTTTTGACATGACTTTTTGAGTTCTTCCTTACTCCTTGATGCTCTGAGCTCATCTTTTATTTTCCCTGCCTCACTCCTAGAATGGATAATTTCTTCAGGGACTCCTATTTCCTTAGAGAAAGGTATTTAGGAACTAATAACTGGTTGTGGGTATGCTCATTACTGTTGGGGTACCTCTGAATCTAGGCCTTCTCAGTTGTCAGAGCTAGAAAATATCTGTATGTATGTCAAACATGAATAGACATATATCCATAATTATCTTTGTATCTATCTATCTGTGCTATACTCATTTTAAGAATCAGATAAAATGTTCAATGTACAGCCTGACCTCAAACAATACTAATTGACTCTGATGAGGCTTACCCGGGTGTTACACATCAAAAACCAGAATCGGTTTAGGTGCTGAGGGGTATTAGCTCCAAGGCAGACACACCATTCTCCCCACTCTCAGGGCATTTGTGTTTGTCTCCCCCATCAGTCATGAGTTCATTCATTCATCACTGACACAGGTGGGGAACAGGGTATCAATCTCTCTGGGCCTTGGAGGCTCTGTGTTGCTGTGGTGCTTCTGAGAAGGTGGAAAGAAGGTAGATGAGAATCCTGAATTATCACAGGCATCCTTGCTTTAATTTGGCTCTGAATCAGTCATGTTATTTAAGAGGTGAGTAATCACTTGACGCAATCAAATGAGAACCTCAAGAAGCGGTAGTGTCCAGGAAATAAAGGAAGTTTTTGAGCTGTCAAGAGTCAACAAGAAACAAGAAGCTCCAGCCAGAACTGGAGGTGTTAGTTCCACAGTCCAGGCCTTTCCATCCCTGACAAAA